CTTGAAAATTCGAGGTCTTCTAACCATTTTATATTACAGTGTGTAGGTTGGCTCTTGTTGGGGACTTCGTGAATCATTTTTTCCCTGTTCATCTTCGTTTCCTCAGGTTACACCAGTATCCGGATGTATGGGCATGTGAATCTACCTTTGTGGTTGCATATGTGCATTCATTTCGGGTCTGATGAAGCCAATAAGCAGAAATACGTATTGCTCGGGTTACCTATCCTATGTTCTGCTCGAATCCACTTTCCCTTTTTACGGATTTTGCCCATTACTTTCCTATTTTTTGTTATAAATATATAAATCAAGACTTGCGTCCTAAATAGTGTACTTAAGAGAAAAGCTGACCTTTAAGTGAAATATACATGATAGACATTTAGATTTTCAAATTTGATAGCTAAACCTATTCACTCTAAAGCTTGCCAATGCCAGTTTTATTCAATGCTTTGAGTCCTGGATTTGACAACTTGTCCTTAAATTGCTTTAAGAAACCTGTTAAATCTCAAATATGCTTAGATCTATAGCTTAAATATACTGCTCTTATCTTTGTTATTAATTTTTTTTACCTTCTTTGTGCAACAAATGTATATACGTATATACAGAAATGATTTAAATTTTCAGAACACTGAATTAGTTGCTAGCTTCATATTTGTGTTTTAGCTCCTGAAGATGCCAACATAGTTTGTCGAGAGCTCGAGATTACCGTCAAAAGAGTTTACTTAGCTTGAAGTTTTTCAATTCTCAATTCATAATTAATTGTGTTTCTTGCCCAACTGGTCGTTGGCAATGGCAATGACTACTGCTCGCATATATGTTTTTTCTTTCGTTTTTTATATCTGCTACTTAACAACTTTTGCATGGGTGGTTATGTGTAAGACTATCGTGTTGCTATATTTCACCACAATTTTGCAATTTTTTTTCTGTATGGAATTGTACAGTTTCAATAAAAACGATTCTTGTTCGAGATTCCTTGCATCCACGCTAGTCCCACTTTTTTCCTGTTCTAAACAATCTTACATCTCCCATTCGTTTCACATGACCGTTCAATACAAATTGTTGTCTTTATATTTATGTCATCTGAAATTGTCTGTTTTATTCCCATCTGGCCTGTGAAAGCTATTTTCGTCGTTAATAGCCTGTTGTTTGACTTTTATGTTAGCTGCCATACGTCTAATTGATTTGAACGCCCCTTCTTAATAAGCCGCGCATCCTAGCTATATTCTACATAGATAGTTCCTAAACTGAACAGGAAAATCATAAAACAAGAAGTAAAATACCGAAACACTCAACTTTCAGCTATATATAAAATCGATAAGAACTAATTGTCAGCTTTCGTAGCCGTAGATATGGGTTAAAAGCTTTAATAAGCTTGCAACACAAAGCAGGGATGCTTCTCGCTTGAACAAAGTTTTGGGTCGGGATTATTAATCACACAAACGTGCTAATAATCTGATAATCTCTGCACCAACAATTATTTGGTTACGAAGCATTATTTCTGGTGAAGGCTCTTAGTTCGTTGCTCAGTAAACACTGCTGACAGTGATATATGAACTTTGGTAACTATATACGGTTGAGGTAACACACACTGCGGTTTTCGTGCTGATGAATCTCGATATTTCTGGCCGCAAATGGAGGCACATAGGTTGGACTGTCTGCTTACTAACGTTTCGACTGCCTCGGTAGCAGTTTCAAGGCCACCGAGTTTTAAAGTTACCAACAAATTTATTTATTTATTTACTAGTGTATATATACTATCCGAACGGTTTATTATAACATTTAACGGATAGGGACACAGGAATCAACTTTAAGACAAAATTGTTCTAAAATAACTCAAAATTGCCAAATGACTTAAGCTTCTGTTACGTAAAATCTTTTTAAGCTACGCAAATTACAAAATAACAAATCTACGGCATTTCTTGCACGTTCATAGTTGTTACATACTACATATATCGGAGAGGAAAGCAACGCATTGGTTCTAGCTAAGTGTAAGTAAAAGTATTTGGAATTGGATCGCGTCTTAGCATTAGGTACATGAATAAGAATCTTACCGAGTAAATATTCACAATTTATGGCATTATCAAGCATTTTATATAAGAATACCCAAGCAGCGTTATATCTGCTAGGTAATACATCATGCCTGAAGCCAACTTCTGGATACGTACAATCTTCCTTGTGCCACAAATATTTCACAAACCACCTCTGAATACGTTCAACTTTATTCGAGTGAACTTCATGAACAGGATACCATACTATAGATCAGTATTCAATTTTGGATCGAACAAATGAATTATATAACGAGATCATGGTATACATTATTGAAATCCCTACAATTCCTGATAATGAAACCCAAACTTTTATAGTCCAACACCATCAATATGCGAAACAAATGTAAGTTTGGTAGCAAAGAATATACCTAAGTCACGAAACTCTTCACACATGTTAAGTTGCAAATTATCAGTGTTATACAGGGTGGCGCATCGAAAACGAAACAGACGCATTTAGGCCGTTTACACACACACCGACAAAATCGGTGCCGGTGCCGGTACCGTTTCCTGTGCCGGAAAACATTTAATTTCACACATACCGGCGTTTCCGTGTCGTCAATTTTATTCGGTGTTTGGCAGTGGTAAAAGAAAGATGTATGTTTCTGCTTCTAATAAACGTTATCTCCTTGGGTTATTGTATCTCAGGAGGAAGTATCGACAAGCTAAAAAAGTAAGACAACATTGGGTGCATCCTCTGCTGACTGTCAGATACTTAGAAGGTAGCTTCTACACGCTTTTTGAGAAACTTAGGAAAGACAACTCGAAATTCTTCAATTACTTCAGAATGAGTATTGATACTTTCGATTTCATAGTGGAACGATTATTAAACAGTATCAAACATCAAAATACTCCAATGAGAGCATGTATCCCTCCAAAGGAATTGGTCGCAGTAACAATAAGGTGAGTAAATATAAATAAATACACATCTTATTGTTTTTAATGTTTATTTGTTAACAAGTTTATACAGTCTTGTTCCAACCACGGTCCGGATAGGTCGTATATGGTCGTGTCTCCTTAGAGCGTGGTGCGGATCAATTACAGATTTCTTATCTATTGGTTTGGGTTTTACACACATACTTTCCTTGCTGAATTACTGTAAGTAGACTTTATTCCTTTTTTTCCTGGGTCGCATGCAGATTTTTTGCCCCAGCTCTGTGTAAACAGATGTCTGGTGGCTACAACATTCCAGGCGGCGGGGATCCGCCGCCTCTGACGCAAGATAGTCCGCAGCAAATTCCTAGCAATGTGTATTGCGAAGATGTTATATTCGTTGATAGTGATCATGACAACATACATACCCCTATACAACCTATAAAGAATGATACTGCATGCACTAGCAAATCTACAGAAAAACCCGATTATGTTCTCTCTGCTGATACGGCTATATCGCGAAAAAGTCGCCCAAAAAATACGGACAACAGATTTAGAAACAGTGACACAGGCCCGTACTTTGTATTTGTAGAACACCTTGACTTAAATTTGGGTCGACTTCACCCAATGAAGCTGGGAGAAAAATTAGCAGCATTAGCTGAATATGAAAAACACATTTTAGAAATTAGCACGGTAGGTCGTAATCGCATAAAAATTGAACTTGATTCGGGTGATACTGCCAATAAACTCATAGAAGATTCCTTATTTGAAGCTAATAATCTTGTAGCGTACATTCCCAACCACCTTACAGAGAAGCGTGGTTTAATACGAGGTGTTGACACGGCTATTAATGAAAATTCTCTAGTTAATATCATAAAATCTAACATCCTTGTGAAAAAAGCGTACAGAATGACTAGAACCGTTAATAATGGAGAATCTTCTCTCCGGGTTCCTACACAAACTGTAGTTGTCACTTTTGCAGGTAAGCTGCTGCCACAATTTGTTTTCATAAACAAAGTCAGATGCCCGGTTGAAACGTATATTAGCCCAGTTATGCAATGCTTCCAATGCTTGCGATACGGGCATTCAGCATCTCAATGTAAGAGTAGTAGAAGGTGTAGAAAGTGCGGTTCTGCAGATACAGATAATAATCACGCTTGCAACGTATACTGCGTTTACTGCAAAAACAACAGTCATGATTCAACATTTCGTGACTGTCCTGAGTACAAAAAACAGCTAAGAACTAAGGAGGCTATGGCAAATCTGAATATTTCATTTAAAGAGGCTGAGAAAGTCATTGATAATCCGTGCTATACTAGTATTATTCAAAAAAATAGATTTGCCCCTCTAATAAATTCAGATATAGAATTTCCCCCTCTAACCTCTTCATCTCAATCCACTTCTTCTCCCACTCAACAACCAAGTCACAAAGCAGCTTCAAGCCCTCAACCATCCCCTTTTGCGAATCCTCCCAAAAAAAGAAAAACCAGGGATACTTCTCCTAATTTCGCTCCCATCCGTAGAGAATATAATTCTTCATTTTGTGCTGGGCCTGTTTTCCAATCTGAAGCACAGGAATCCTGCACTGAGTCCGACCAGCTGATTAACCAGCTAACCGCCGCAATAAAAAAACTCTTGCAGCAATGTTTACAAGATTACATCAGTGAAAAAACACCCCTTAATGACACAGCACAAGCAAACTGTGAAAGTGAACTGGACACTAAAATTAAAAACATCCTAGCAAAAGTTTTCGCTTAGCTCATGGCTCCCAGAAGGTTGAAGGTCATTCAGTGGAATGCCAGATCTTTGCGTGCTAATAAAAACTCACTCGAACAACTACAGGTGGAAGAAGACTTCGATATCGCCCTGGTATCGGAGACTTGGTACAAAAAGTCGTTTAATACGAATTTTAAAAAATTTCATATTATTAGAAAAGATAGAGATGATGGTTACGGGGGGGTTGCAATTTTTGTCTCGACATCTATTCAATTTGAACCAATAAATTTCACGAATAATTTCAACTCAAAAATTGAGATATGTGGTATAAACGTGTTCAATGACGGTAGAAAGTTGTCCGTTGTTAGTATGTACAGACCACCAAATGTTAAGGCCTTAGCTTCAGATTACATAAATATCTTTAAACAAATAAAGTACGAATGTATCATAGGAGGGGATCTCAATGCCCATCATGGTATGTGGGGTTCTCCAGTAAGCTCTACTGAAGGTAATACTGTGCTAGAAGCACTAGACTCGTTCCAAAACTTTGTAGTGGTCAACGATGGTTCAGCTACAAGAATTACCCCACCAGGGCAAATTAAATCTGTCGTGGACATAACTATCCTATCTTCAGGTCTATGTTCTTCTTTCGCCTGGTCTACCCTTCCTGATACGTACGGCTCCGATCACTTTCCTATCAAGATTACTTTCAATGATATACGTATAGAAAACACTCCCATAACTCCGACCTCCAAATGGTCCATGAAAAATGTTGACTGGGTCTTATACCGTACAGAAATTATAAAGTATTTTTCTGGTTTGCCCACATTTGTGGACACTAATGACATGATCGTCTTTTTACAAAGCTCAATCACAAACGCAGCCAACCAAGCATGCACAATTCTGAAACCTTTCTCTAACAAATCTAGATCTCCTCCCTGGTGGGATGACGAGTGCTCTTCATTAGTTAATGTTAGGAAAAACGCTTTTAAAATCTACAAGTCGAACCTCACTTTTGCCAACTACTTGGAATATAAAAGAACTGATGCCGTCTGTAAGCGGTCATTCCGAACAAAAGTAAAATCTAGTTGGGCTGAATTCTGCAGCAACCTAAATAGACAGTCCTCCCCGTCAAGTATCTGGAAACGGGTCAACAAAATTCAAAACTCTAAACAGTTTCATAGACAGGATGCATCTAGTGTAGAAGCACTTCTAAACAAGATAGCTCCACCGTATGCCTCCTGTCCTTTTTTCTCTCCGCAGAGTAATAGTGAACAGCACTTCCTTTTGTCACAAATCACGTCAGAAGAGCTGAAAGCAAACATTAAGGTCTCCAAGCTGACATCTCCAGGAATTGATGGTATCAACTACCTTATGATAGAAAATTTACCGCAGGTCGCTGTAGACTTTCTATGCAATATCTATAACCGTATTCTTATCCTAGGAGAAAACTGCGATGCCCTAAAAGCCGCTTTCATCATTCCGATTCCCAAAGCAAGCGACCCCAATTCCTGTAGACTAATCTCTCTAATGTCTTGCCTTTTGAAAACGTTTGAAAGGATCTTGAAGGCAAGGCTTGAATGGTGGTTGGAAAGCAACAACACTCCCCCAACATCACAGTTTGGCTTCCGTAGAGGACAAGGGGCTGTCGATTGCGTAGCGCATCTAGTGAGCGATATACAGATAACCTTTTCTGAAAATAACTACCTAGCATCTCTCTTTGTAGATATCTCCAGTGCCTATGACAATGTCATACCCGAGATACTTTTTGATAAATTGCTTAGACTGAACTTACCTCAGAGCTACGCATGTGTCCTAATCAATCTATTCATTAACAGGAAGGTCTATATCCGATGTAACAATCAAGTCGTTGGCCCGAGAACAGTACATAAGGGCCTCCCACAAGGTTCCGTTATAAGCCCGCTTCTCTTCAACATATATACTCAGGACCTACATACTGCGGGGTTGGAATGCAGTGTCTTGCAATACGCCGATGACTTCTGCTTCTATGTTAAGAATAAAGTGTATCAACAATGCATTGATATGCTCAACGTTATAATGCATAGTTGCAACGATTATTTCTTCAACCAGGGTCTTGACATATCTCCCTCAAAATCTGCCGTCGTATTTTTTTCCCGTCACCGTTTACCTGTATGTACCATCTTGCCATTGGCCAACGTTGCGATCCCGGTTCACAGTAGTTACACCTATTTGGGTATCACGCTGGACACCAAACTGACTTGGGATTACCAAATAAACAATTGTCTTGTCAAATGCGAAAAAAGCCTGAACATCCTCAAAGCGGTTAACAGGTACAAATGGGGAGCTGATCCCAAAATAAATATCTTATTCTATAGATGCTATACAAGATCGATATTAGACTATGGATGTTTCTTATATGGTTCAGCTACGAAGACTCGCCTTGCCAAGCTCGATAGGCTACAGTATAAAGGTCTAAGGTTAGCCTTGGGGGCTCTGAAATCTACTCCAACAGCTACTCTGTTAGCAGAGTGTCAGGAACCTCCATTACACTTGAGAAGGTTATTCTTAGCAGAAAAGTTCATTATAAAATGCAGCTTCAATGACCAAACTGCACTCACAAGAAAAGTAGCTCAACTAACCACCCTCAACTTGACGCTTCCATGGTGGCAAAATAAAAACTCTCCTACACTTGCTGAAGCATACCCCAACATCTCTCTGTACAACATAGAAGGAGATAATATACCATTTTTCAAGTCTCAATACAATATTTCATTCTCAAATTTAGAGACATACATCACCGTTGCTGAAAATCCTCCCATCATGAAGCAATTACTCCACGATCTACTACAAAAATTTGTGACTCCTTGTAGAATCTACACAGACGGATCCAAATCTGAGCAAGGCGTAGGGTGTGCTGTATTTATAGAAGACGAGAAAGTGTCTCTAAAGTATAAACTGGATCCCATCTGCTCTATATTCACCGCTGAGCTAGCAGCCATAGATCTGGCTCTTGAGTGGGTAGTCTGCAATCGTCCGTCATACCAAAAATTCATTATTATGTCAGACTCACAATCAGCTATACGCGCATTACAAAATGCGCCTTTTCACATATACCACAACAAAACCATCGTCTCAATACTGGAGAAGGAGTCTCAATTAAGACAACTAAGGAAATCGGTGGCATTTATATGGATAAAAGGTCATGCAAGAATTGAGGGGAATGAAATGGCAGATCGACTGGCTAAGGTAGCCGCCTCGTCCGGAGAAGAAAAACAATACGTAACTAAAACTGACATAGCCTCGTCGAGGAAGCTTAATATGAAAAAGAGCTGGCAAATGGAATGGACTAATTTCTGTACCAACAATAATAACCAATACTGCAAAATTTATCCAAACCTCCCTGACTCCCCAATAGAGTTCAGAAGCCACGTCAATAGGAGAGTACACTCAATGTACTTCAGATGTTTGGTCGGACATGCTACAGTAAAAGCTTACCTGCACCGCTTTGGTCTCGAAGAATCGGATACATGTAGCTGTGATGGGAATAGGGATGATATCAATCATTGGTTGTTCCAATGCAAATTCAACTCAACCGCTTCAGTTTATATGATGAGTGAGCTGGCTACACTTGGTGTTCCATTTCCTCAAAGTCAAACCTCCCTTCTGTATTCAAGCACTCACAATTCATCAATTCGAAAAACTCTATGGGATTTCTTCAAGAGAGCCAGACGGAAAATATAATTAACGAGTTACACGAATTTAGAATTCAGTGAGATTGTCGTGTGACTTGAGTTATTTTTACCTGTGTTTTTGCCTATCTGTTATTAAACCTACCAACCGTTGCCTGTGTTGTCTGTCTTTAAAGTCGTCATGACCGGCACCTTGACGTGAAACGTGTATCCCCGTTCCTCCCTAATCTTGGTTCTTCTATTATAATTTCCTGGTTTTGAGTAGGGCCCTGTTACCTGTATGTATGTGGATCTATACAATATTGCTAGCAGCGGATCTATATGTTTTATTATAAATTTGAGCATGTTTATATCATTCTCGTGGCCGAATAGGCTAGAACTCCTAAGGCCAGTAATAAAAAAAAAAAAAAAAAAAAAAAACAAGTTTATAGGTTAGAGGTCTTGAAAAAAGGTTATAGTGGGTTCAGATAAAGTTGAACTGGGATTATTATAGGTAGGCTGGGCTAGATTACCAGGTAAACACTGCTGTTGACTCTGTTGAAAATCATGAGCATGTTGACTATTACTGGAATTATTGGAAAGTGGAAATGTATTGTGTGAAAATGGCGTTGATGATCGAGAGGTTGATGTAGATGTGTGACTGGCAAATGCTGGCGATTGCATTTTGTTACGCATGTTAATATTTTTTATTAATTGAAGTACATTCATGCGGAATTCCAGCTTATCATCTTCTGACATTTTTCGTACTGATGGAGTAATTGACAGAAAGAATGCCTCATCCTCGTCAGGTGGCTTTTCTAGGGCTGTTTCTCTTATCTACATCTTCTTGCAAGCGAGGTTTTTTTGATGTGTTCCTGTTTCCTGCAGGCATAGGGTTGATATTTTTTTGGAGTTGCACTTGTACTTCAGACTCCCTCTCGGCTTCGTTTTGGGTTTCTTTCAACAGAGAATGCTCGTTATCCTGGGTGTCATCAATACTTGACTGCGTGTCGTCTGATTGTACCACTTTCAGCAAGAATGTTAGGTTATCATGGTACATATATTTTTTGTAGTGGCTTGTCCAGATTTTTTCTTCAATGACTTCACAAAAGAGTCACGGATATTTTGCCATTTCCCACGAATTGCTTCACCTATAAGTAAAATTAAAAATCATAGAAGCGTACAATAAAATTATGCAAAACTAAAATTTTTAGATTTATTTTTTAGTTCGCGATATATTGATAAAAGTGCTTTTTAAATTTCAGGTACCTTGCTTCTGGAGCAACATTTACTGATATGCACTACTACTATAGAATCGGAATAAGCACAATAAGTAAAACTGTTCGTTTGGTATGCAACTCTTTATGGAACTTATTAAAAGACGAATTTCTCCCGCAGCCTACGGAGGAAACATGGCAACGTATAGCAGATAACTTCAAAAAATCCGCACAGTTCCCCAATTGCTTAGGCGCTATCGACGGAAAACACATACGAGTTAACAGATTTCCCCATAGTGGTTCAATGAACCTTAACTACAAGGGTTATTTTTCCATTATTCTTATGGCCGTGGTTGATTCTGATTATAAATTCAAATATGTAGATATAGGAGCTTATGGTAAAGACTGCGACTCATCTGTATTTCAACAAACAGTATTTTTTAAATTAATGATGGAAAACAAGTTACATATCCCACCACCCTGTCCATTAGAAGCAACTGGAAAAGATACTTTTCCTTATGTGTTTGTAGGGGACGAAGCATTTGGGCTATCAGAAAACCTAATGCGACCTTACGCTGGACATAATCTTACCGAGAAAAAAAGAATATTCAATTACCGATTAACTCGGGCAAGAAGGTACGTTGAATGTGCTTTCGGTATACTTTCCAATAAGTGGAGAATTCTACACAGAGCATTAAACGTATCAAAACAATTATCTAAAGACATTGTTAAAGCACGTGTAGTTTTACATAATGTGGTGCGAATAAGGGATGCCGACAATTTAGAAATGTATGTAAGCCAGCAAAAGCTACCAAATGTGCAAATAGCTCCTTGTACTAGGCCAACAAAAAATGCAAATTATTTGAGAGATTGTCTCGCAGATTATTTTGTAACTACTGAAGGGATGTTGCCGTGGCAAATGGACAAAATATAATAACTATATTAATTGTGTATTGCTATTGCTCAATATATATGTATATTGACTTACCTATTTTGTGTTGTTCCTTTTTGTCCTTTTCTAGGAAATCTTCTTCAAAAAACGCACACACGTCCTTCCACGCTTTTTCTTTTTCAATCTTATCCTTGAAGCAATCTGCAGTTTTATCCCACAAACAAGGTTTATTTTCTATTGCTTCGATTAAAGTCACAACATCATACTTGAAAATTCTACTCATTGTCAGTACAAAAAAGTTGAAAGGTACAATGAATATCCAACAGCAAACGACCCTATGTATGCACTTCCTACGAGGTTAGCGATATACTAAGAACTTAGATGCATAAATATCCCCGGCACCGGAACGCGTGAGCCTGTGTGGACAAGTATAGATTGTAGAACAGTGGAATCGGCAAATCGGAAGCCGGTGCGTGGTCCGATTGTCGAGTTCACCACCGACTGCATGAATCGGAATCGGTGACCGGACCGTCAAATAAACCGGGCCGGGCTACGTGTGAAAATATTCATTTTATTACATTGCATTCGATGTCGGCATCGTTACCGGCACCGATTTTGTCGGTGTGTGTGCAAACGGCCTTACTGGAAGCTCAGTTTTTGTTTTTTTTTTTTGGAAAAACGCTTAGACCCGTCGATTTTGTTCTCGAGTGGGTCACAAGTTTGGCAAAAAATCACGTTAACACGTGCAGCCCTGGGCGGGGGTGACACCAACCCTAAAATCTTAAATGGAAAGGGGCGTCGAGTGATACCTTATTTTAAAGGTCTTTCAATTCCCTTTATAATGATGTAAAATACATGAGCTTCGGTTCAGTAGTTTTAAAGATTTATTGATTTAAAGCTTAAAGTAGACTTTAATAGGTGCATCAGATTAGTTTGTATTACTTTCAGAAGAAATTTTAGTCAAGGAATTTACTTAATAAGTAAATGCTTTTCTTCACTACGCCCATCGTTTGTTTATCGTTTTCTTGTTGAAAATAGCTATTGGAGCGTTTCTTTTTTTGTGGCAAAAAAGTTATTTCTTGAATAAAGATAAGGAAATATCTCGTACTTATTTTAAATAGGAATTTAGTACATAGTTTGCGATTGATTTGACCAAACTTTGTTGCTAAAATAACTTGTAACGCTTTATTACATAAATTAACCATGGTATATTCCGCAGCAGAAAGAGTTGAAATTATCGAAATATTTTTCGGAAATAATTAGTGCGCTAATAGAACAGCAGAAATATTTAATGAGCGACATGAGAAGAGTAACGTGCATCGAAAATATGTTCTAGAACTTGTTGCTAAATTTCGGGAAACTGGGTCAGTCGCCAATAAAAAACGCATCATAGAAAATCCCATAAGGAACGAAGCAATAGAAGTGGGGGTTTTAGGGCAAGTTTATGTAGATCCTACGTTAAGTACCCGCAAATTGGAGACTTCTAAAGGCCCATAGTTTTCATCCGTATAAAATTCAGCTGGTACAAGACCTTAATGAAGACGATTTTGATCGGCGATTACAATTTTGTGAAGATATGAGTGAACGAATTATAAACGATGAACATTTTCTATTCAACACTTGCTTTGCCGACGAATGTTCCTTTTTCGGTCCGATTCTAATACCAGAATTTATCATGAGGTTCGGACTTACTCTTTGTTGATTCGGGCACTGGGCACATCACAACGGAGGCAGATACTTGTTCAAGGTAGTGCATTCTCACCTTGTTCATTGCGAATGTTGTCATTAATCCTGAGCTGGACTTCGACCGAGAAGATGCAAGGTTGTAAGCCGTGTAAGATCTTTAGACGGTATTCGGATTGAAGGATTGGTTGCAATTAACATGAAAACCCCATACAACAGTAAAGCTTTAAATGAAATGATTAGATTATGAAATGATTCGTAAGACATTTCAATACCACATGTCCACAAAAAAAATAACTGATAAATCGAACTGAAACATAAAAAATAAATAATAATTTAAAAAACTAAGAAAATACGCTTTTATCGCTAACTGAGCTGAAAAGTAGAAAATAATTTTTAATTACAAAGACTTTATATTACAGTAGTAGATGGTCGAACAATGAATCATAATTAATGATCTCGAAATAAAATTATAATAAAATTTAAGTTATTAACAGAATAATTCTATTCAGGGGAAAAAGCCTAAATTGTTTATGAACTGATGACACCGTTGTGAGGGAGTCAAGGTACTTAACAACACTTTTGCATATAGGAAACGGAACCAGATAGCATTAAAACCCGGTACATTTTTAAAATTTCAATTTTGAGTATTCATGTACATATTCGGTGTACATACACGGTAGGTGAAACGTGATTTGAAATGAAGAGTGACCTTTATCCCAGTATAGGGTGCATTACCATGCAAAGTGTGTCATGAATAAAATATAGGAAAATATGAATTGCGTTCTAGACAAGATAAAAGGCAATCTGTGGGTACAGTTCTCCAAGGAATACCATCCTCTTTCCAGTTTCCGAAGAAAATATTGATAAAGCCTCTAATAATAAAATATGTCCCACGAGTGAGTATTCATAAATAATGTTGTAGCTGCAAACGGAAATATGAAGCAGGGGCAAGCTTTGCTGCCTGCAAAATAAATAAAAGATGTACAAAGCCAATATTTACTGATCTTACACTTTATACCTTAAAGCAAAAAATAATGGCAATCGCAATACGCTTTATTCATGAAAGATGACTTTAGTGTAGGAAAATGGGATATTTGGGATCTCTCGTCAATCTCAGCAAACAACTGATATCAAATTATTATGTGTATACAGTTCGTTTGAAAACTTTCCACCACGGTTTTATCGAAAATCACTATTTAAAAGAAAAAACGCCGAAACACGTCAAAAGATTTGTCAAGGGAGACAACTTTTTCCACAGTAGATTTCAAATGACCTCAAAGAAGAAAGTCCAAAGGCATCAGATCAGGAGATTTAGCAGGCCGTTCTATAGGCCCTCTTCGCCCTATCCATTTATCTGGAAACTCGTCGTCTAGCCATTGTCAAACCGGAAGAACATAGTGAGGAGGAGCGCCATCTTGCTGGAAATATATTTCAGCCTCACCAAGTATAGGGTTTCCATCCTCTTCGATTTGGTTTCAGTGATAAGCGGATTGATGGTATTTTCCAACATATCCAAATAAATGTCTTCATTCAAATGTCCATTAATGAACAGTGGTTCAATCACTTTGTTTCCTAAAAGGCCTGTCCATACATGAATACAAAAATATGAGGATTTTCATTGCTCCAATACCTGCAGTTATGCTTATTAACAATTCCATTTAGATAAAATGAAGGAGTACAGGGGCAAAACAGGAAATGTCGCAAAAATGCAAAAATGAGATAATGATGGCAACGTCTGCATTTTCCTGTGTAATTTCATTGGGTATGAATCAAAAAGCGTACAAACCAGTGTAGTCCATAATTTCGCCCAAGTTTGTATATGTGTACAGGCACAAAATAGGGAATGTCCTTAACGTAACAGAACGTAAGAAGGAATGTCCACCTGTCAGTTGCCAAACAACTAACTTTGAGGTTAGGTAAAAATGTGTTAATCGACAAATTACCACGTTGTTATTTATGAGATAAGAATTTTAGGTTTATTAAGAAACTTTCAATATAATGTGATAGACACAAAAAAAAAGAAAGAGGACGCGAAGAATGCTTGATGTAATGAAGAAGTTGAAAATGTCTACTCATGAGCTGGGAGATGATTGTAGGTGTAAAAGACTAAAGTGTTTTGAAAGGTTTTCACTGGTTGATCGTGTAAAAATATTAAAAGATTTTAACAACCTGAACAGCACTGATGAACAAAATATTTATTTATGTGGTTTAATTACCGTATGTTCAATAAAAAGAAGGGTATGTTCAATAAAAAGAAGGCGAAGTAGAAAGGCTGAGGTAGATGCCCATTTTCATGAAACTTATTTTACCTACAAAGTAAAAGTGAGAAAAGATGATGTTTTAAAAGGAATACCTGTTTGCTACAAGGCCTTTTTATCCATATTTGGAATCACCAAAGGAGGCAAATCATGCTCTCACAAAAAGTTGAACCATGATTTTAAACAACTGATTTGTAACCATATTCAAAGAAAGACAAAGCCACTAAAGCCTGAGTGATACCAAAAAAGAATATTTACCTGAAGATCTCAATATAAAAAAAATGTTCAAGATGTATTTGGATAAATACCCACAATCTGAAAATTATGTTTCTTATGAAACCTACAGAAACATATTTAGCACAGAATTTAACATAATTTAACATATCATTCGGTTACCCACGCACAGATACTTGTAGTGGCTGTGATGAATTTCAAATAAAAGCCAAAGCACTGATGGCAGAAGGAAATAATGATGAGCTGAAACGTTTAACTATCCTGAATAATTTACACAAGAAGAAGGCTCAAACATTTTATGATAGGAAGAAGAATGCTAGAATCAAAAGCAGGACAGATGCTGAATTTCAAGCTATTGCCATGGACTACGAAAAAAATGTCTCACTGCCAAATACGAGGGATGTCTTTTAAGTTTTGTATATAGAAACATAGTAGGCCGCGCGGATCGAACGTTAGTACTGAATCTTAACCTCACTCTTTAGTAAACTTCGATTCAAAGTTTCCCAGGGTGGGTGCACCAAAAACGGCAGTCACCCAGGAAAACGTCGATGCTGTGCGCAAACTCATCATTGAAGATAGACATGTGACATATCGCGAGACTGAGGCGTCCTTGAAGATCTCAAAAACCTCAATTCAAAAAATTTTACATGATGAATTAGGAGTAAGAAAATTAGTTTCTCGTTGGATACCCCACCTGTTGACTAAAGAGCAGAAAGCAACCAGGGTTAATTGATGTCAAAAAACGCTTGACCGTTTCAATTCCGGAAACTCAAAAAATGTGTACAGCATTTTTAGTGGTGATGAACTGATGAATCATGGATTTACTGTTATGGACCAGAAAATAAACGACAGTCGGCTGATTGG